TTTTTTTTAGAAAATATTCATTTGCATTACTCCAATTATTATAAATCATGGAAAAATATTGCCATGAATTTTAGTTTTACGCAAAAGAATAAAAAAATACAGATTATTTCTCATAAAATATTACCATTTTCTGGACGAATTCATCGTTACTAGGCAAATTCAGAGGTTGTAGATCGCATCCATTGGAATACTCTCGCTTTTATGTATACTCTTATACAGTCAATAAAGTGCGCCCTCTCTAATAAGATTAGTTTTTGTACTTCGCATCTCGCACAATGCAGTCGTTCGGTTAGGCTGAGATATGTTTGTTTATCAGAATCAGTTTTTTAACAAATTTGAAATAATTCCTATGAAATATTATATTCACAAGTGTCAATACTAGCAACGGAAAATATCATGTCGGCCGTTTTTATGTGTGATAACAGAACCTAAATCGAGGTAAGGCTAGGCCTAGCCTCAGCGTTGGATAGGCTAATGTTTTCGGCGCCTACGATATTTCTTCTCACGACCTATCGCAAAATCAACATGAAAAATTCATCCGCATGTATTTTTTGTGTGGAACACAAAAAAAATCAAATTTCAGTCTTATTTTACATTTTTCATTCTTAGGAATGTCTAAATTCAGTTAAACTAGCAATTCCGTATTATATTTATAAATCTTTATAACATTATACAAAAATTAGATTTTTCTTAAAAACTGAAATTTTGCCGGGAATGGGGCTTTAATAAATATCACTACTTTTTTTACTAAACTGTCTATCTAGACAGAGTTTGACAACCAATTAGAAGGAGGGCCTACGTATACCTCCCAGACTGCCTATAGGCCTAGCCCTACATCGGCCATATCATGCCTGGGCCTAGCTAGGAATGGAGGCAGTATTCGATAGATTAGAGGCCTAGCATTTTGGGCCCAGACCTAGCCTAAACCAGCCAGCCTAGCTAAGCTAGCTTGATCTCATCTAGGCTAGTAATAGGCCTGGTGGCCTAGCGTAGCGGTCCTACTAAATACCACACGGAACCACTCGCGACCACACGGGACCACTCGCGACCACACGGG